CCTACAGGAACCTGCGCCGGAATGGCCGTTCCGGGGAGAAACCTTAAACTGGTCCTCAAGTAAGCTGAAATTGTTTTTGAAGGAAATTCTGATACTTTGATATCGATTCCTTCAAAATTCTAGCGAAAGTGCCAAGAAAATGCTTAGTTCTGGAACATTATACAGAAAATCCGGATTTCCGGGAACCAGACTATTCCGGATGGACATTGTTGGCAATGTCCAGAAAGAAGATAAGTTTCTGAATCCATTGGTGTCAAAAGATTCAGAATCGGTCACAATAGGCCACAGTAGCAAGTTTTTCAATTTGTGAGTACCCGGGTACCCTTGTCGAGCACTTTAAGGTGTTTTTTTTGTCGATCACATAACGGTTAATGCTTTTAAAGTTACTTGTACCGAGGAAACCTTAATAATATAATCACTCTACCGATTACATACGGTTGTTTGCTTAAATTCATCTAAATCAGTTAGAAATGTTGATGTCAAAACTGCATAAGAATTATTCTCATGAGTGCTTGATCATTGAAAAATGACAAGAAAGCTGATGATAGGTAGTTTCGTCTCGTGATAGTGAGAGGGCCTGTTTTCTCATCGTCACATGACGGCTGTGATATTTACCAGCTCTGGCTCAAGTACTACAATATGTTCCGTATATGTTGCTGAGCTGGCGGCAATACATTGTACGCTAGAAACGATCGCCTCACTTGCACCAGATCATTATTTTATTTTTACGGATAGTCTCAGTTCTGTCGAGGCTATTCGCTTCATGAGGCCGGTAAAGCACTCCTCGTATTTTCTCATGAAAATACGAGAGCTTCTAAGTGCTTTATCTTTAAGATCTTTTGTCATCACCTTTGCATGGGTCCCATCTCATTGCTCGATTCCGGGCAATGAGAAGGCGGACTCGCTTGCAAAGGTGGGCGCTATGGAAGGCGATATTTACGATCGACAAATCGCCTACGACGAATTTTTCTTCATTTATCGTCAACAGTCCCTCGCCAGCTGGCAAAATAAATGGAGTGAAGGGAGTTTGGGACGATGGTTATATTCAATCATCCCTAAGGTGTCGAAGTGTCCTTGGTTCAAGGGGTTGGATGTGGGTCGAGACTTCATTCGTATGATGTCTCGCCTCATGTCCAATCACTACTCGTCAAACGCTCACTTGTTCCGTGTTGAGCTGGGGGACAGTAATCTCTGTGAATGTGGATAAGGTTACCAGGACGCAGATCACATTATTTGGTCATGTGCTGAGCACCGTGGAGTCAGATCCGAGTTGTACGATTCCCTTCGGGCTCGAGGTAGACAACCTAATGTTCCAGTTCGGGATATTTTGGCTGGACGCGATCTGGAGTTTATGAAACTCATATATGTTTTCTTGAAGAATATTAACCATAGATTGTAAGTTTGATTAACCTTGTGTTTAGTTTGTGTTTTGTATGTGTGTGTGCATTTTTTTTTGTAGATTTGTTTCTGTAATAATTGTATAATTACAGAGTTGATATAACGTCGATAGGATTAAGTATTTGTTTTAGAAATAGTGAATTTTTTTAATCATAAATCATATTCCAAATCTCCTTTTCCCTCTCCCGATCCAAACAATTGTCATCCATTAACCTCGAGAAGACCGCGAGTAATCGGTTCCAATCCTTTAATTTTAGATTTAAGACATTTATAATGTATAAAGAAAATGATAACTTGGCTCTGTAAAGTTTATTCGAATGAGCCTGTACAAATAAAGTAATTAACAAAAAAAAAAGTACTACAATAGAGTATTTCATTGGGATATAACTAAATTCTTAACATTCAAGTTGATGTCTTGTGCTAGATGTATGAAAATGATGAGTTCTACAACTTGTTAGAAAATTTTAATCTCGTAAATTATCATGCAAAAAAGTTGAAAATTGTAACTAGCGTTCTATGGAGTTTAATTTATGAACGACCCACTCACCAGATGCGTTTTAACCTAACTAACAAGTCATAAGACACCAACTTGATTAAACTTCATCTTTATGAACTCTTTTTTTTTTAATAATTAGCATAAATTACCCTTCTAGACCACTGTGCGATGGTTTTCTTTGTTATCAGACAGTATTAAAATAAATCGATTATTTAAATTAATCGATTATTTCATGTCGATTACTATCAATAAAACAAGTAATCGATCACTAATACTGAGTGGTTGCTGTACAAGCACATATCGTCGGTAATAGACGATTGTTGTGTATTAGAGAACGCTTGCGCAAAAGACTAGGGTGGGAAACGGATTCGAAACTCAAATGTCATTAGTAGAATACATCCGTAGACCATATAGGTCCACCGTGGTATAATTGACAATGCACCCGTGTACTGAATGGAAATTGTGGGTTTAAATCCCACCGGTGCCCTTAGATGTTATCACAAATTTTCTCACACACACATATGTGCTTACCTCTCAGTATGTTCAAACTTTCTAACGACACAACTTTACGAAAAATTTGGAGCAAGAGTAGATTAATCAAGACCGGGTGGAGCAGATACCAGAACGACAGGAAACGTTTGTCGTCGAGCATTCACAAATCCTACGCTTTCAAGCTTAAGCTGATATTTGAAAATTCTGTAAGCTGTTGAGTCGAACGATGCAAGAAAATCTTGAACTTCCTTAAGCGAAAAAATCCGGTAATCCAGTTAACCGACGAAAGCATGTTTACCGTCGATCCCGTATCAAATTCGAGAACCGACCGGTTTATAAGTTATCTTCCGGTAAAAGACGTGGCCGACGAGCACAAGAACGTGTATCTGACCAAGCATCCTGCTAGCGTTATGGTGTTTGGATTGGTGGCTTCCGATGGCAAAAAATGGACCCGGTGTTCATTCAGAAGGTGACAAGGTCAACACGGAGGTCTACATCAGGATTTTAAGTAAGTATGTTCTTCCGTGGATCTAAGAACATTACGGTCCGAAGCCAAATGTTGTATTTCAACAAGATGTCACACCTCAAACCGCACACCCAACTGGTGGTTGGAACATCTTCCGTTCTGGCCGAAGGATATGTGACTGCCATCCAGCCCCGATCTTTATCCGCTGTATTACTCAATATGGCGTGTCATGAAGGCCAAGGCCTGTTCTAAACGCCACCCGAGTACAGCAAGCCTCAGACAAACATTGACCCGTACCTGGAGAGAAATGGATCCAAACTACATAATTAGAACCTGCCGTGCATTCCGGAAGCGTGTGGAGGCCGTTATTGCAGCAATTTGAAACTCGATCGATGATTAACATAGTTTAAGACTCTAAAAAACATCCCCCCTTTGAATAAATAAAAAAACACTCGAAAATGAAATTTTTGAGAATTTTTTTAATTTTGACATGGCTTAATGGCTGTATTTCTAAAATAAATTAATATATTTACTGAAAAAAAAATGAAAATGCATGTTTTTCCTTTTTTACCCTGCATTAATCAATTGTAAGTTGTCGGTGTTCTATAAATTGTATTCTCTGAATTCTAAAACAATCAGAAATTAAGCCCTTTTCAAAAGTTAGTCATTAAATGTTGAACATATTTTATGAGTAATTATGTCTGTCTGCTTGTATGGAAATCCCCAATAGTGCAACGCTGCTGCCGCCGGACGAAAATTGATCTTATGCCGCAGCCGGCACAGAAACACGTTGGCGCACGGATCTAGTTCCACGCCAAAATGATGAAAAAATCTTAAATCTTGCAAAAAAATCCAAATGGCATCTTTTAATTTTTTTAATAAATTATAGCACGAAAACATCACTTTAGACGTCTGATACAAACTTGTAAAGAAAAATAAAGCCTTTCAGGGAAAAATATGTACATTTTTTAAGGTAATTTTGAAAAAAAAAATACAAAAAAGAATTATTAAAAGCTCAAGTATTTTAACAATTATATCCATAATTTATAAAACTTTTATTATGAAAAGCGTTCATAAAAATGCACACTTTTGGAATATTTCAAACCATTTGAAAATTAACAAAAATCGTAAAACAAGAACTTTTGGTATTTTTTTTTTACTTTTTGGTAGCATACTTTTTAACTAATGTATACACCCGAAACAATATTTGAGGCATTCTTAACCGTTTTCTGTGCAAAAATTACATTAAAAAAGCATGCTAACAAGAATGTTTTAAATATAACCAAATTTTGATGTTATACGATGTTGTCACTTCGCAAGTGTTCATGGTTTTAAATATTCCATCTATCTTTCATTAAAATTTATTAATTATAAAATTTTAAAGCATATTTTTTAAGATAATTGGGCTTCCAGCATTGTTTGTAAATGTTTAATCAAAATTAAAAACAGATATATTCAACCATATAAAGTTCCCAAAAGGACTTTACTTTTCTAAACAACTTTGAATCAGACGTCATTTCGATCATAAATAAGGTTTGTGTGTTAAATGTATTGAAAAATTACAAATCCACCATTTTAAAAAAATATTACTAGATCCAAAAATGCAGTTTTTTTTTTTTGCAAATGCTTCATGCAAATCGAAGAAGGCCAAACCAATTTGGTTTTGCCTGGAATGCAACATATCTAAACCTGTAATTACTCCTATAAACGACATCCAATTGGGATAAAAATAAAACCTGCATTGAAAACATTAAAATCCAAAGCAAACATTGTCTTCCAACACTGGACTGTCCACAGTTGCACTTTGTTTCCCGGCAAGTCCCATTCCAGCAGAAATTGTGTCAACAGACACCCATTTAATAGCAGGAGTATAGTTTACCAGTGTTGCAAGGCATGAACAGGAAATAAACGTTCAGGATGGTATGGGATAAGCAAAAGTAGTTTTTCATTTTCCCCTGTAGCTTCGCATTCCCTTTAACCCTGCCACATCCGAGAGAAGTAATTTAAATAATTAATTACGCCCTCTCCGGAAAATATTAAACAGCAGTTCAGAACCTCCTCCGTCGTTTGCATTCAAAGGATAGAGAAAGGATGGGAATTTGTTTTCATTTTTTTTTCTTTCTGGGAGCTAGTCATCCAGCAACTTACCCGTTGTCCGGTAGGGATAGTTAAATTCAAATTTGTGATTACGTTTTCCTTTTGACTCTCGTACCGGAGCGAAACGTTCTCGAATACGATATCTCCCTTCTGGGGCCACGATATTGGCACGGGTTTATCTGAAAAAAAGAAAAAAACAAAAGATAGAAGAGAACAATCGGAAGTCGTTTTCGATGGAATGATTGACGACATTGAGGGACATTTGTTCGAATTAGGTAAAATGGAAGATTTATGCATGTCTTTTGATTTTGAGATAGATACTTACATTTAAGTGCACTTCTCTCGCTGGCCCGTTCCCGACTGCTCTCGATGTAGAACTGTATTCTCTCGACGGCTCCCACGTACATCTCCATTTCGGCAGCCAGTTTGACCACCCAGTTCAGGTAGATTGGAACCAGCAGAGCATAGTTGATGGCCAACCCAATCAGTGACGAACTGGTTGAATCCGGACTGATGCTAGCCGTGATCAGTGCACTCAGGATGGCTACAAACACAATAACTGCACCCAGGTAGTCGAGAGCGATTCCCAGCCAACGGTTGCTGCAGTCCAGGCTGACCTGTGCCACATTGTTGGCTTCCATCCGTCGGAACAACATTTCGGTGAACCGATGCTCCTGCTGGTAGGCTCGTATGGTCGTTACCCCTTCGATGGTTTCCGAAAAGTGGGCAATAATGGGCGAATAGGTGATGCTTTCGATGCGTTGGAGTTCTCTGTAGAAAATCGAGAGAAGGTGCCCCTTAGTAGCTGCTAGCAGGGTGTAGCCAGGTTTCGAAATAGGGGGGGGGGCACTTTTTTTTAAGATGACAGAATTGGCCGAATATGATTGAATTTTAAAAAATTTCTCGGTCGTGCGATACACATTTGAAACATTTAAATAAAACATAAATCCGAATGCAATCGAATCGAAAGGATCACTAAGTAAAATAAGTCATTATAAGTTGACCATGATTTGATATGCATTGACTATAAATTCAAAAACTACACCCGAAATCTATTTCCATCGCGATTGCAATAACTTTAACCGTGATTCCTTTATACGGGATTTACAAGAATTAAATATGGATGCTATCTATTCTTATTGTGATGTTAATGACAAATTGAATTACTTGAATAATGCACTATTGTCACACATAAACCGTTATGCACCTTTATCCAGAAAACTGGTAAGAGACCCTGCAACTCCATGGCTTAACCAAAATGTCCACAGGATGTTCAAAAATCTTTCAGAAGCATATGACTGTTGGAAACGCGATAAAAATAATGCTAAAAAATGGCACAATTTTGTTAAGCTACACAACATTAAAAACACTAAACGTGAATACTTTGCTTCCCAACTTAGTGCATTTCTTCCTGCTATAAAACTTTGGAATAATATTAAGCGACTCGGGTTAAAAGGTTCAAATATGACTGTTGGTGATGATGATGTCACTGCTGATTCATTGAATTATTATTTTGTTCCACATTTTGCCCAATCATCGTTTATTGAAACTGAGCAAGTTGATGAACTTTCTGGTAATTTTTTATTCAGAGGTATTACTAGTAACGATATTTTGGAAGAGTTTGCATCTGCTTCATGTGATTCTGTGGGTACTGATCTCATTCCTCTAAATATTTTGAAAGTTTCTTTACGTGTCACTCTACCTTACATCACAGACTTATTTAATGTTTGTATAACCACTTCAAAATTTCCATGTTAATGGAAAGTGGCTAATATGGTTCCTATTGGTAAGATTGACAATCCAGCTACAGAAAAGGATTATTGACCTATTAGCATACTTTGTGCTCTGTCGAAAATTTGTAAATCAATTCTTTCCAAACAACTAAACGAATATCTTAATAATCATAATCTGCTATGTTCTTTACAATCTGGTTATCGTAAGAACTGTAGCACGATTACAGCTCTTATAAAAATTTAAGACGATTTATGAAATGCTCTTGATAAGAAAATGTTAATCGTGATGGCGCTCTTAGATTTCAGCAAAGCTTTTGATTCAATTGATCATCGGAAACTCTGCAATAAACTCACTAGTTGTTTAAAAATTGGTCATTGCTCAGTGAATTTAATCGAATCATATTTGGCTGGCCGATCACAGTATGTTGAATTTAATAACATGCAATACAATTACGTGCATGCTCCTCAGGGATCCATCCTTATTGGACCCCTACTTTTTTCTATGTTCATCAATGATATGTCCAACGTTTTATTAAACTGTAAATTTTACTTATATGCAGATGACTGTCAACTATACATCTCTGGCAAATTGAATAATATTTCTAAAACTATTTCATCTAGTGATATAGAAAATATCTTAAAATGGTGTGAAATTAATGGTCTTATTTTGAACAGGGCAAAAACACAAACTATTATTTTTAGATCAAAACGAACTGGTATTCAGGATATCCCATTAGTTAAAGTGGGTGGAGATGTCATTATGTATTCTGACACAATTAAAAATCTTGGTATTGTAATGGATTGCAACCTCATTTGGAATGCTCAAGTCAATGCTGTGTGCAGCAAAGTTTATTGTACGCTTCACTTTCTAGTTTTGTTACGTCACTCCACGCCTCCACATATCAGACTTCAGCTGGCTAGATCCTTGATCGTTCCGTTATTTTTGTACGGGGATATTCGCTCTAGCTAAGACAAATACAAAGAAATTAAACTTGGTATTTAATGTCGTCACCAGATACGTATACGACCTGCGGAAATACGATCACGTTTATAACTTTTCTAATTTATTACTCGGCTACGATTTCGTCAACTACATGAAGCTTAGAATGTGTATTCAAATTTTTGAAATTTTAAACGAAAGTCCGACATATCTTCGAAACTTCTTTATTAACTTACAATCTTCTAGGTCAAGTGTTTTTATTATTCCAAGATGCTCTACACATTTTATTAAGTGAATCGTTGCGTTATCGTTCAATTCGATTATGGAATGAACTACCGAGGGAATGCAAGACAGCAAGAAGTTTAACAACATTCAAAAACTTATGCAGCAACTACTTCAGTTAGGTTAATAGGTACATATGTAGTGTAATAGTAGCATATACTCTGAAAATCATTAATAGATAACTTGTGCTATTATTCTTGTATTGTATACATAAATAAATAAATGTATTAAGCCAAATTTGTCTTCTCTTGAATCTGATTTAACATCATTCCCTTTCACATGCTGGATGATTATGCAGTTCAATATACACTCAAGTCTTTTGACTTAGGATAACGTCTTTCGGCAACATATTGGGGGTGCAATTTCAAAAAACGAAAATCGACCGCGTTACGAAAAGTGGTCAGGTTTTGATCACTTATAACTCTGTCAATAGTGGAAGTATTTTAATTCTAAACAAATCGATCGATTGGAAAATTTTCTACAAATCTGCTTAAATAAACACTTTATAAATTTTCAATTGGTATCTATTGAAAATTACACAAATTTTTGACTGACTGATAATTGATTAAAATCTCCATAATACTAACTTGAATCGTGATGCTGTCTTCAGTAAAGTTGTTCCAGTTATAGTTTAAACTATGTGAGCTTAATCGAGTTTGCTGAACCAGTTCTATGCACGAAAGTGTGTAGCAATATTATTTCTCCATACATTTCAACCAATATCCCCATATAAATCTTAAATCAAAAGCGCCAGCTCGTGTTACATCCGAATGAGCTGAAATTTTCAGAGAGTGGTTTTCTCACCTAATGGCACAAATCTAGGGGTTGGCCCGTTGAAAAAATAATAAGTCTATTATTCAATCACAGTGTGTCTGGTCGGTGGTCATCATTATCAGCAATAGCAGCAGCAGTGGTTTCGGTGTGTGGCGTTGAACATTGTTCTCCAGTACACAACGAAAGAAAGCCCGCAAGCCGCGAGCTGTAGCCCACATGAGCGTCCATTCACCGAAGAAGGAGGAAGAAGTCTCACCACTACTGATCGGATTCAGTAGTTCGTAGTGAGTTGCTGTGGGCCACCTATGCCAAGTGCGTCACCCTCGTTCCAAACAACTTACAGCTCGCCAGCCTTATCTTGAACACCCTAATAGCTCAGCTTTACTCAACCATCATGATAAAACGGTTCTTTTCAGGACCACTATAAATTTTAGTTGTTTAAGAGTTAATTTAATTTTCATTTAACGTTCGGTCGCCTTGCTGTCAGCCACATCACCCCCAAAGCTCATTGATAATGTACCTAGCAACCAGACGGTTGAGGTCAAATACGTAACAGTATTGAAGTGGTACATACAAATTCTCGCAATGACCGAATACCACATGACCTTCTCAATTAACCAGAAACACTAAAAACTAAACTTAAAATTCCGTGCGTTTTCTGGACAAAAATGCGAAATTTTGTTATCAGTGGTTTCCCTAACACAGTCGCAGAATATTGATACCAAGCACGTGCCTTGGATACAACCTCTTACATTTTTACTTAATTGTAGTAAGTCAAAGTTCATGTCTTTTAAGGTTGTCGTTATTGGGGGACGGGATAAAAATAAAAATTTTCGCGTTGCATAATATTTGCACGGGACCGAAAATGAGTTTTGGTACGACATCGACAAAGCTCATCCCGTACCTGCCCGATATCATCCGGTCTCAGCGCCTGTGAAAATTTTCAGTGGTAATGAGCAGAGGCTCGAGAGCAGCGCTAATTTATAATTTTCAGGTTCAAGCAGAACGATGTGCAACCAAGTGGTATTCGATTATGGCGACTGAGTTTGGGGAAATCGTTTGTTTCATGAAAACAGTGATAAAATTAGCATTTGTACATAGGCACGGCAAATCACTAGCATTCATTTACATTAATTTGCCCTAAACTTTTGCCATCGACAGAATGTCTTAAAATTCTTTACAAACTTTTGTAGATTTTGATATTAGCTAAAACTTTTGTGAATAGCTCAAATCTTTACCAGTTATGTATGATGAACTAAAGCGCGCAGAACTTGTTATTACTTTTCAGTGAATGTAATTTACATTCACTGAAAAACAATGGTGGGTTCTGTTCGCTCTGGTCCATCATGCATAAGAGGTACTGATTTGAATTATTGACAAAGGTTGTAGCTAATATCAAAACCTACTAAAGCTTAATACATAATTTTACGGAATTCTGTTGATGAATAAAGTAAGAGGCAAATGAATGTAAATTAATGCACGGAATAAATGTTTGCCAAGCCTGTTTGTACATTTTTCAATAGTTTTTTTTTTGTTTTGATGGAAAATTGGAAAAGTACTTATTCAAACAGATTTGTAGAGTTGTTTCCTATCGATTGGCCTATTTCGATTTTAATTTCATCTATAAATGACAAAGTTACAAGCGTTCAAAACCTAACACTATTTTACCACACATTTTTTTTTATTTGCACCCCAGTATAGGCCACAAAGACGTAGTTCTACGTCAAAAAGTTTGCTCTTGTGTACTTTTGATGCGTGGATGTGTTGGGGAAGCCACATTGAAGGCGCAATTTTTTTTAATTTCATATAAGGCCTGTACTCGAAAAAAATGCACCAGACAAAAGTGTTCGCCAAAAATATATTTTAAGTCGGATTTTCTTGAAACTTTCAGGGAATGAACTAAAACATATGGATTATGTTTCGGCATAATTACTTTATTCAATTTCCTTTCCATCGCTGAAAGCCCGCACCTTTCCCTTAACACCCCTCATTACATTTTGTGCAATGGTGGAGCCGACCTTTTTGGTCACTTTCATCCATTC